CCCCCCACCCCGTCTCAGTCAAGCCAAAAAATAAAAAAGAGGGAGGAAAATTTGAGTTTAAGAGAGGAAAATTTGAGTTAAAGAAAGGAAAGAGGAAAATGGGAGTGCACCCATGAGTTCAGTGGCAATCCAGCATTGGGTGAAAGGAGAGCTAGATTATTTACCATTTTCACCAACCATGGTTGGGCTGAGGTGGGCGTGGACTTCATAATTCCTTTGTTTCACTTTACAAATGGAATTCCATCAATCTGATACAAATCTATCTGCCTTTCTAGTATTATACTTAATTGGCTAATGTATATTCTCAAATTTAGTTATGCATTTTCTTTAATCTCTTCAGAGCAACAATATAATAATATATATAACGGTATATAATAGATATAGGTTTGCATGCAAATATCAATAATAAGATAATAAACTGTCGGTACATCAAGTGTAGGAAAAATGGATTTTGGATAAAAAAAAAAACTGGTTAGTTGTTTTTTATGAAATCCAACCAGTGGTTTTATCCCAAAACCATATTCGGTGTACCAAAAGTAAAATTATTATTTTATTACCAACATTATTGGACTATAGTATATAGTGCAAAAGAAAATTACAAGCCACCTAGACACAAAATTCTTGAACACAGCTGCAAAGTTCCCAACAAAGCGCATTTGCTTGTGACTGTTTTGCAATAGTATTTCTAAAACCGGGGACTCCCTGCGCCCGCGGTGATTTCTTGAGAAATGAAACGCCACGACACGTGCAACAAATCGTTTTTAATGACGATCTGTACAGACTGCCACTGACAATCAGCAGACGATGTTGCGTCGTCTGTTACGCTCACTGGGAGCGGAGTTGGATTCATCAGCCGAAGGTCGTACGATGCTGTGCCCTGCTTAAATAGCCTCAATGAAAATAAGTAAGCATAATGAAAATGTATCGATACTAATTAAGATAATAAAATTTAAATACATAATCATATTCATTATATTGCAATAATAATTGAGGGTCGAAAACCAAGGAATGAAATTAAAAATAGAACCACTATTAATTCAAATATTCTTGGTTATTGTAAGTACATGGAACAAACGTAAATTTGAATGACCGAATGTTTAATTACAGTTACAATACTGTACATTTAGTTCATATGTTTTGGCAAAGTGGCTAAATGAAAATAAGCAAAAATACAGATACTAATTAACACATTTTTTTAAAACAAAATTTAAATACACATTCATTATATTGCAATAATTTTTGGACAGAATATAGGCAAGATTATCATACAAATATCAATATTTTCATAACATTATAAATCCCCTATTAAGAAGTGAAAGAGAGGGTTTAAAACCAGGAATTGAAATTAAAAAAAAAAAAAAATCACTATCAATTTAAATATTCTTGGTTGCTGTAGATAGCAGAAGTAAATTTTGATTTTTTGAATGTTATCATAGTATTGCATATTGAATATATTTTGACACAGTTGTTTAGGCTCGGACTCCAAACTTTGAAGTCGTGGGCTCAATTAACCCCTTGTCATTCATTTTGTACAAGTCCTTGTGTAAGGCACTTTATATGGGGCTTGCAATGAAAAAAACCAGCATCAGTGACCAAAACAAGAAAACTTACTTTTTAATATATTCATATTTACCACATAGAAGCTTTAAAATGATAGGAGAGGTCATTTGCTGGAATCAACTTTACTATTAAAAATTAAAAAAAAAAATACTGCTTCTCTGTACTAAAGTATACAATAATGCCACATTATTGTATACAATAATGCCACATTCTTATTTATGCTAATTATTCAGTTTAGCAAACAAAAGGGATGGCAAGCCTCATATATGACTCTCTCAATCCACAAGTACTATATAGATTGGACATGCTATGATGATCTTGGCATTGAATGTATATTAAATGCAACCAATTAGATATACTCTTCAGGGTTTGCCAACTTATGGATACGTTACCAGGGATATTAATCAGTGGCAGATTCAAGGGGGCCATCCAATCAGAGACCCCTCTAAATCTTTCTAAAAAATGGGGAAAAAAATTGTATTCAAATTTAAGTCTAAAAGGTTCCATTTCCGGCCATCTAGAGGTGCTGTAATTATAAATTTTCTTACCTCAGCCCCAACAATGGTGTGGTAAATGTGGTGTACATCCTCCCAAGCATCAGAAGCAAGCACCTTTACAATCCTTGGCAAAAGATGCGATATAAATTCATATACTGGTATTATTATAAATACCAGTTTCTAACATGCGTGACGAATGCAACAAGGAAAAATGTTATAAATCAAATTTCTTATCACATTTTTGTGCTAAAATTATATTATGTCTTACATTGCGCATCTTTCCAAGGCCTGTAGGCAGCTCACCTCTGAAGCATATTGTACACGTTCATTACAAAAGTAGCAGGGTGGTTAATTGAATAGTTTGACATCATAAATTCTGATATTATTGATTAACAAAATGGATTACAGAGAATCTCAATTTTTCATACAGCACAAGACCAAAAAAGGTCAAGTATTAGGCCTAGTAGTAGTTACGGTATTATTTTGGTGATTTTAAGCACTGTACTAAAGCAAGCTTTGGATTTTCTTTGCTTCTTGTAAAAATTGTGAATAACTATACTAAGAAAATAGTGTATACAATACACTTTGGCCTACAGCCATGGATTTGATACTGCAATAAAAATTGACAAAAGATGGGCCTTTTTAGGCACTGAAAATAACAGAAATTGCCAATAAAGTTAAAGTTGCCTAAGTCGATTTTGCCTAACTCGAATAATTTACAAGTCAATTTTTTTACATGCCAAATTGTTGTGTTGCCAAATTGTTGTGTTTTCAATTAACAACCTGCAAGACAAATTTTATCGAAGACAAACAATTTTTCAATGCCATTTTGAATTCAACTTCGCTAAGTTCAACTGTATACTGCAAATGAGTTTACATAATTGATGACATGGGGATGTACATAAATTTTAAATTTTGTAAAATTAAAAGTTTGTATTATTTCTGTAAAAATGAATAAATGAAGAAATAAATATGAATAAATTATTACTCTCAGTATAAGGTTTTATATGACAAACACCTGTGGCATGCCAATATGGGTACGCTATGACATCATCACACCCATATATGGGGAAAATACATATATTTGTCAAATTAAAACTTTCATGGTATGCAAAGCAAAATCATTTTTATAATTACAAAAATTTTGAAGCTGCAAAATGAAAAACAAATATGTTGATACACAGCATAAACAGAAACAAAGTTTTCAAAGCCAGGCTCTGGGGGAAAACAAAATTTGGATATGTTGTAAAACTGATTTTTCGAAAGACACAAAAAGGATGTTTGATGAAAAACATGGGAACAGTTAATGAGATACATATTTTTGAATGTTGAAAAACTGGGAAAAAAGGGAGCAACAACTGTTTTTCCACCTTTTTCCACTCAGTTTTTTAAATATTAAAAAATCTGTATCTTAATAAATGTTCCAGCATTTTTCGTTAAACACCCTTTTTGTGTCTTAGAAAAATAAGTTGTACAACATAACCAAAATATTTTTCACCTGGAGCCTGACTGTAACAATTAGAATTTAACCAATTATATAATGGCAGAAGCTTTTCTGTACATTCCTTTTAAGGTTTAGCTTTAAAATAATCTTTGATGTCAATGGTAACACCACCTCCGAAAAAGTCAATCATCCACAAATCCGTTAGCTGCATTTTCATGAATGTGAATTTATGGTCCTCCGGCCATGAGGCCATAATAGGATGGCGTGAGAACATCGCTTTTTTAACAAATTCTAGCTCTGTGGCATCAGACACCTGTTCCATGGTTCCTGTGAAAGGTAAAAAGAAATACAAAATTCATGAAAGTTGTGGGTAGTCTATGAGTGGATGCTTACTCCAAAAAGAGAACACCTATCGAAAATGAAATGATACAATCGGCCCTGGAAAGAGACTTTCTTATTCACATGACTACTTGGTCTTTCAAAAAAGAATGAGGGAGACGCATGGTTGCCGGATTGCTTGTGCTTGGCACCAGGTTCCATCCCATTTTCGAGGGGTGTTCTCCTTTGGGAAAGAATAGCCGATTAGTCTGTAGACTATTTATTATCTTATATGAATATACTTGTTATGTTCCAACAAGAATTAAAAGACAGCCAACCAGTTACTGAAAATCTAATTTTGATGGCAAACATAGATTTTTATTTCTTTAATGAGATGAATAGCATCCACACAATTAGGCACATATGAATACTTTGCAAAAGTATGTTTGGCTTTTTGTATAATTACTGGTATACTGACTTGTGAATGTAAACAAAACAACGTAGAAGTACCCCCAAACAGAGGGAAAAAAAGAGAAGAGAATTTTCTTTATAAAATTCGAATCTGGAAGAATCTGTCTTTTTAAAATTTACGTCAAATTCAGATTAAAATTATGTTACCTGCACATAAGAGCTTAGCTTAGCAATTAACAAAAATGATCTTTTTAATTATTTGCAAGGGAGTACTGTAGTATTGCTTTATTATGTTTTCTCATGAAGAACACCCATCTTTCCTAAATCAATACACATTAAACAAGACAAAAAACTCAGTAAACATGTGTTCCTTACCAAACATAACAAGTCGGGAACACAGCGGGTTTTCAGGGTCGCTGTGTTTCGTTAAGTGGCAGTCATCAATGTTTAATTCTGCTTCACTTAGTGAAAGCGTTATTTGGTTGTTTTCTGTCACATCTTGCATGCTTACATCAAGTGGAGAGGCATACATGTACGGTACTCCAGTACTGTTGTCTAGTGTGCCATCGCAAATTGATATAGGGTTTAAAAATGGTCGGCCCTGATAAGCAGACTGTGTTGATATTGTACCTAGCATTGCCCAGTCAGCCTAGATCAAATAACTCATACATTTTAAAAAATAATACACAAAATATATCACATCCAACAACAAGTACACTTGCAAATTACAGAATGGAAAATTTCTCTCTAAATATAAAGTCTTTTATAAGGCTTATGAGTGTCAGAAAAAAAAAAAAAAAAAAAAATTTTTATTAAAAAAACATTTTTATTCTAGGAACATTTTATCCAAAGGAATACTCTCTGTGGCAGGAGAAACAGGGCCCAATGCTTTTTATTATGGGCATGATTTTTTAAATTTTTCAACTTTGAATGTTTCATTGTAAACAAAAAGCATTTGTTTTTTTGTGAAGGCCACCATTCTACAGTCATTTAGTTCACTTTGTGGTTTCCTGTGTCATATTTGTTTATGTTTGTTCCTTGCTGACATTTTAATATTGTAAATTTTAATGTTTTTGAGTCGACTATCATCCTGGTAATTCAAACTATGGGTAATGACCACTGATCTCTACTATAATATCTGGATTGCTCATAGGCCAATCATTGTACAGACAAAAGTGAAGCCACTGACGCCATGTTGGGCCGTCCAAGTGACGTACCAGTCTACTGTAGAGAAATAACGATTCTTGCAATAATTTTTACAAAAAATATAAATTTAAAGATAATCCTCCTTTTACTCAATAAATTTTATTTGTCATATATATATATATGTACAATACAAATACAATGAAATTTGATGTGGTTTCTTAACAAAAACAAACATAAAATACGAAAATTTCAAACTACTGTAGTGACTTGTTCAATGCCCTAATGGCGGAGGGAGAGAAACTACGTAGAGTTCTACTCCTCCCAGTCACTAGTGATTGATATTGTCGACCACTCCGCATCAAAGTGAACAAATGGTTGAATGGGTTGGTTCTTTGTCTGTGATATAGTGGATGACCCATAACCAATTACTGTAGGCATTATTAATTTAATACAAACTGTTTCTAAAGAGAAAATATTTATAAAATAATTAGTTGAAAGAATGATGGATAAAACCAAGTTAGCTATTTTTAAATATAGGGTCACCATTATTAAAAATTTTAAATACTACCAGGAGGGCACTACAGTACCTCTACTGTACAAGCAAGCATGGTGTCAATTACAATGAAAATATATAGTATCATTGCAATTACATTATATTTTCCAATTTTACAATTACTTTTTTTTTCAAATTACAAATACATTCCCTCAATTACAATTTTACGATTACAATTACTTTTCCATTTTGAAGTTCGCACAAAATCACAATAAAAAATCAGTCAATCATGCTAAATGAAACATATTTAGACCAATTTTGAATGGTTTATGGAATAGATACACAGTAATGATACCATTGGCTTCTGTAAAGGAATACAATTACAATTCTGTAAGTTGTAACAAATTTGAAAAAAAAGTAAATAAATATAAGCCTAAAATGTGAAAACATAACAGTACTGTATAAACAAACAAACCCTAACTACTAATGGTTGGTCATATTAAGCGTATGAAATCAAAATAGGACTCTTTTGTATAGGAAAGGAAAGTTTGTTATATTTCATTGCTTTCCAGAAACTTTGCTGTACGAACGAGTACTGGATGTAACAGCATCTTAAATTTTCAATGACTGCAATTATCATGCTTGGACATGTCTGAATACCGGATCTTCTGAGTGTCTTGTTTATTGTATCCGATTTGCTTGCTTTTTTTTTTTAAATTTATGTATATACAATTTTATCATTAAATAATTTGTATAAAATAAACTCAAATCACATAAATATATATTTTTAAAATAATATAAGGATGCTTCTAATGATTGAATTATTGTAATTGAAATGCTTATTATTTTCTATATTGTAATTTATATTTATATTTATATCACATTCTGTGCTGTTAATAATAAATAATATGTCGTTCTTATATAGAACTTCACATTACTACCCCAGTCATTGGATCAAACATGTATGGAACACATTGAACACCAAATTAAATTATTAAGTTAAATTATATTATTATTCCATAATATTGTGGCTAGAAATCAGTGCAGTTTTATTGGAACCTACCAGGTACCCACTTGTACTCCTGGAGTACAAGTGGGTAGAGAGGCAAGTGTGGAGAGAGGCAAGTATGGAGAGAGGCAACCGTAGATAAAGTGCCTTGCCCAAGGAAACAAGCGATTTGCACAGTGAGAGTTTCGAACCCCCGACCTCGGTGTTGGGAGCCCAAGCCACAACCGATGCACCAACCACTTCTCTGATTCCCCACATCGGATGGAGACCCACTTTGACAGTAATTTAATTTACTTTTTGGTTATCCCGTCGGCCCTTGTGGGGAATTAGAGACCAACATTTATTGTATCTTTTTTGTTATTTTTGACTGTTCATCCTTTTATATTGTAATTGTTTTCGGTTAAATAAATGAAATGAAATGAAGGAAGACACTTTGATGTATTAATACATGAAGAAAAACGATATTAATTGGGTTTCCTTCCAATACTGTAACACAAACCATACTCTACATTATAATTTTAAAATCGTTTGCCCATGTGTGTTTTTTTTTAAATTTATATTCACATCCAACAGAAAGTAACACACAGATTACAGGATGGAAGATGTTTTATTCTGTTCAAGGGAATTTAGTTTCTATTAATAGGCAAAACACCTTAACCACTAAAGCTACACATCTTCACTCCATGCTAATTATTATCCCATGATATTCTAAGTTTGGTTTATAAATAGACTATTCCTGCTCAGTAATAAGTGCAATTATTTTATAAAAGTATTACACTTTAATTCTAGTTTTTGTGGGTTGAGCACATGGTTTATATGGGATAGGCCATACTGTAAAATTGAGATCTACTGTTTAATAATCATGGAATTAAGTCTGGAAAATTCAGCATGGAACGTATGTAAGTAGTGCATCCTATTTAAAGCAAATCAACAACTCCTTGGTTAAAGTTAAATGAAATTAACAACCATTAGGAATAGTTTACAGTTGGGTAAACCATAGAGCAAAGTGCTCTATGGATAAATTGTTGACAACAACAGTTATTTCTGTATATACAGTACAATTAAAAGTGGATGAGTTTTCTGCAATCCAGTGGATATCAATTTGTGATTTTTATAAACACAAACAGTATCAGCAATCAAATGTAATTGCCATAATTACAAATTACATTTTTCAAATTATAATTACATTACAATTACAAATTACATTTTGAAGCAAATTACATTAAAAAGTGTAATGATTTCAATTGATTACAATTACAAATTACAATTACCCTATGCCCAATAATATGAAAACCATTTTTATTTCTATAGAACTGTTGGTTGCCCATGTGACTGCTTGTTTCAACTGAGAAGGGCTTTAATGTCTTCCTAATCAACAACAAATCATGTATTGAGACACAGGTGGATTGTGTTAATATGTACTGTAGCTTTTGGGCATAGTTAGGTTTACTGACTTATCAATAATCCAAGAATAAAAACTTACCATATGAACCATATATCTAGCCCTTGCAGCATGGTTTGTGTAAGGAGGCCGCACCTCATTCACCTACAAATTTTAAAAGAAAGTAAGTTTGTATTATATATAATTATATACATTAATATCAATTATTGTAAGTCAGCCATGAAATCATAATTTTCATTTACACATAATTATCTTATCCCCGAGCAGGCATTAATTTGATAAAGTGCCTATTGGTTATACAGTAATTAATATATTGCTTATACAGTAAAGCAAGATTTAAATCCTAGGGCCTTGGTCAAGGCCTAATTTTCTGACAAAAAATTTGAGGAAATCAGCCCTTAATTTTTGAAATGTGTGGACAGATTTCAAGGCCTAAAGAGATTTACAGTGAGAATTTGAGTGGTATCAGTGTATGGCAGGGGCAGATCCAAAATTTTTCAGTGGGGGAACAACAGGTTCAGAATACAGTAGGTTAAAGTGAGAAACGCATAACATTGATTTGCAATGAAATTCTCAAAATTTAGTGGCAAAACAGAAGGGGGGGGGGGGGGAGAAGCATGGGCAATCCCCATTCCCCCTACTGGATCCGCTTTTGTAAGGAGCGCCAAAAGTGTGACTGCGAATCTAGATCAAGGTGCAGTAGCTAAGCAGTAATCATTTTTTTTTAAACACAAAACCTACATTATTGTAGTTTATTAACAATTTGTATTATTAGTATTAAAGTGTATTATTAACTCTACAGTATTACAGTATCACTTGGTGTTATTTTTCTTTTTTACAGAAACAACACAATGTTACTAAGTCGTGACTTCATTTGAGACATGTTTCTTTTCATTGTTTGTTGCAATATATTTTGATTGCATGTTTATTATAAAGCATTATTGCTTCAACAGGGGCAGAATTTGGGGGGGGGGGGCAGTCCCCTATTGGGGGGGGGGGGGGCAGTCCCCTTTTGGGAGGTAAAAAAAAAAAGAAGAAAGGAGGTTAACGATAGCCCAAAACGCCTCAGATGTTATTTTCAGGCGTCTAGAACACAAACATTTTGCGCGGGCATGTCCTCGGACCCCCTAGGGTTATGTTATCTCCATCGGACATCTCTGGATCTTGTAACTGTATGTAACTTTTTTTTCTTGTTTAAAACAAATCTAATTTGTATTAAGCTTTGCTTTTTTGTACTAGTCAAGTTGGTGGTACTATGTACCATTTATTCCATGTTATTCACTTTCCGAAACATATTCAATTCATATATAGTAATACTATAACATCTTAATGAAATGTTGTGTTTACAGTGAAATACTGTATAATTAGAATTAGTAACATGAAAAGGATCAAGCATAGCTTTTTAAGCACATGACCCGTCTGAATTATGCACATACGTATTTTCTAGATAATCATTCATATAAAGAAATAACAATTAAATAAGTACTAAAATGTACATAAAATAAATACAGATAATAATAATAATAACATTAAATCAAGTAATTAGTAATTCGATGAGTGTTACTATTATTATTATAAGAAGAAAATCACCATTATTATATTACATATTTATTAAGTAGGTTTGAATACATTTTTTTTAAACTTTGTAGTAGGTAAACTAGGTAAACTATTCCATGTTGTACTACCTCTGTATACTACTCTTTGCTGGTATTTGATAATCATGTTTGTTTCTTGTTATAATAATAATAATAATAATAATAATAATAATAATAATAATAATAGTCTTTATTTACACACGGAAGCTTGTATCGCCCAAGAGTGTTTTTCAACAAGGCCGTGATGCCATTATGAAAATATAAAAAACGATAAAAGGAAAAGAATACAGGTAAAACACACAATTTACAAAATACAATTGTTCAAAGAACATGCACCAGTAACACTTAATTTTAGTTTACAATAAGCTTTTTGAAGGTTCTGACATTTGGTGCAATTCTTACTGTACATCATCTGTAAGATTGTTCCATAACTTGGCACCATGGTGACCTCAAGAACATCACTGGATCGTGTATTATACTTTTTTTCTTTGAGTGCAAAGTGCTTAGTCAGATAAGATGGTGTTAGATTATGGAAAATATTGTACATATTGACAGCTTCACAATGATACAATTTAGTTTCAAGATTTTCCCATTTTAAGTTCTGCGGGGCTTGTGTACTTGACTCATCTTTCTTCTTTTTTAAAATTATTTTTGCAGCTCTGTTTGATAATTATGGATGTTTTCCATCTTTTCAAATAGAATTACTGTATTAAAAAAATTTTGGAAGTTGATTATTTTGGAGTTTAAATATAAAAATGAAGGTTGCTTTACATATAGATCATGAATATTAAGCAAGTTATTTTCTTTAAATAGGCTGCCAGTATAATGTAAATAATCAACTTTACACACAATTCTCATTGCTTTCTTTTGGAGCAAATGTAATTTGTTTAGTTCAGTTTGACTAGCTGAGCCCCACGCAGTAATTGCATAATTAATATAAATGTGTATACTAGGGCATTGTAAATTATTAAAATTACTTTTTTTGGGAAGAAATGTTTCAATCTGTTAATCGTCTCAATCGCTTTTAAAATTTTAACTGCTACCGTGTTAATATGGGTTTTGAATGTAAGGGATTGATCTAGCCAAACACCAAGATATCTTGTTTCTGATACATTTTCTATGATGGACCTGTTAATTACCAGTTCCAGACTGGTCGTATCTATAAACCTGTTTCTACTTTCAAAGATGAAATATTTTGTTTTGTTGATATTTACAGTAAATTTGCTTGTATAAACAAGACAAAGAGCCAAGTCAATTTGTCGTTTAACATTGAGTAGGCTATCTTTACATCATTGTGTTTTAGGAAAACATTTGTGTCATCAGCAAACAGGATGAATGTTGAATTTTCGCATACAAATACGAGGCCATTTGTTGTTTTAAATATTTATAAGGAAATGTAATTTCCTTATAAATATTTAAAACAACAAAGGGCCTCGTATTGACCCTTGTGTATACTCCAGATTTTATTTTACTTAAGAGAGTTACAGCTCTCAATATAAACATATCGTTCCCTATTACTGTACTTGGGTACATTACTGTAGCTACGAAACCATTTTAGTGCTATATATGTAATACCATAGTGTTCTAGTTTATGCAGAAGTATGTTGTAGTCTATCGTGTCGAAAGCTTTCAACAGATCTTAAAACAACCCTATAAAAAAGATTTTGTCGTTAATTGCCTCTGTTATGTTTTCAACTGTGAGCATTAATGCATGACTGGTCGAACAGTTTTTACGAAAGCCAAATAATCTTTTCGTATATCATTAAGAGACAAGGCAGTATCGATATTGGTCTGTAGTTTTGTATTTTGTTGCGTTCTCCTCCTTTGAATATGGGTATTGTTTTTGCGATTTTTTGCTCACAGGTTTAGCGAGAATATCGGAATAAGGTTGAATATATTGTGCCTTAATACAGTCATGTCCTGTTGATTTGCCAGTGTTTAGATTACCCATGTATTTCTCTATTTCAGATTCGGAGACCGGATTTAACAAATATAGTATTACATTGTTTGTTTGATAGAAATACATTTGGTGCCATATTATTTTGTTCTATTTTGTTTTGATTAAATTTTCACCTATATTAATAAAGAAATTGTTGAAACCATCTGCTTTTTCTTGTGGTATAATACATACTCCAAGTATCGAAATGCATGCCATTGTGTCGGGATTCAATATTTCAACATTAATTATGTCATCATCGATGACATAATTAATATTTCAACATTATTATGACATAATTAATGCGAAATATTGAATCCCGACATGATGGCGTGCATTTCGATACTTGGTTGGAGTACTGTAAGTATCATACTAATATCTGAGATTAATCATTGGACCTTTCGGTTTTTCTTGTGGCGTACTGTATAGTGATCATTTTCACTCATATTATAAATTGTATTTTCTTGTGAGTGGAATAAATTGAACTTGAATAGCAAAGGCAGAAGTAGGTCAGATGCTAAAAATAGATGACTAGCTATTTTTAGATGCTAACACACGCAATGGCAGTGAAGGCGTCATGGAGTTTACCTGCTTCATACATGTCACCAGGTGCATGAACTTTAAATCATCTGCTATCTGCTTATATGTTTATAAAATACACAAAATGGAAATATAGAGTAGTAAAATATAGTATACACGAACTATAAATAGAATCGAAAGAAAACGCTATTTTTAGGCGCAACCACATGCGATGGCAGTGAAGGTGTACGTGTGTGTAACAGAAACTTTATTGTATAGAATATTTTTAAATTTAGATATAAAAGTATATTTGATTTAACAAATTAAATCAATATCGTAACAACACATACGGTCTTTATTATGAATAATGCAGAAAATAATATAATACACTTGACTTTTCACTTTATTGTTTTTCAATATCAAACATTACCTGTATCTGTACATCCTGAAAGTATTTCAAATTAACACTATGCCCGACAAACACAGAGATCTCCGTGTTTGGTAACGCAACTCTTGACCGCCAAACACAGAGATCTCCATTTCAGTTTCTTTTACGGAATCCGATAGATGGGGTAACCGATATCTACTAACAAGTTGGACACTATATTCAGTCTGGCCCGTAAGTATTACACTATTTGTTTGTTTACAATCATTGAGTATAGCTGTATTGATGTACTTACACGAAGCCGCAATTATCTCAGCTTTGTTGTGCGAAATTGCACTGTAAATCTCCAGAAGCGAGTCATTTTCATTTTACTGTTACGGGTTACAGATTGTGATGAGAATGAAGTGTTTGGTACCATTGTAAAGCCAAGATGTAGTTCTTGTAGTATTCATTACATGTCAATCTAATCACATACGCACTCTCAATGAGCTTCGGAACAGTGTTAACATTCGCTAAAATTTCTGGAGGTGGCTGATATTATTTCTTCAAACCCTTGGCGGCCAGAGTGTTAATTGTAATTAAAATTTTCGAAACAATAACAATCGCAAAAACTTCAATAATAATCATATACAATTTACAAAAATATACTGTAAGCCCAAAAAAAATAAAAATAATTAGTTTATCACCTGCTCACGCATGTCTTCTATGGTACTGGCAAAAAATATTTTTTTGAAAACAATTTTTTTGGAAAAAAAAAAAATTTTTTTTGAACAAATTTTTTTTTAAATTTTATTTATTATCTTTTTCATTTATTAATATTAAATAGTATAGTAGATATTGTTTGCATTATCTAAAATTCATGTTTTACTTTGAATATCAATACACCAGCAAATAACCCAGGAGTGATATATCCTCCCTCCCTCATCACTTTTCCTGCCAATGTATAGTCAAGCATCATAAAAACACAACTAATTAATAAAATTAATACGAAGTCTAAAACACACACACACACAAACTCTTTAAAAACACAGAACCCTTTTTAAAACTAACTTTCTAAACAGCATAAATAAACCACTAGAGACTAGTTCAATTCAATTCAAATCTGGTTTATTCAAAATAAAATAACATTGCAGAATAAACTGAATTGCGCCAAATTTACATTCAAAATACATAGATATATAAAAGTTAAAAAGCTATAAAACAGTAAAATTGTTAAAAATACGGGCAATTATATAATTTAAAACATTTAAAAACGGTACTAAAAGACAACAAGGCAATCACAGGAAAGTTTCAGACAATTGAGACTTGCACGTTATATATTGAAATCAGCCGCTATCGCCAATTATTATTTCATAGATTAAAGTTATTGCAGATTAAGAGTTTTGATTTAATAGGGACTTTTAGATTTGCACGTCGACATAGTGGACTGCTACGTGATGAGGTCATATTAAGGCACTGCGCATGCGTTACGTCGTCTCCCTCGTCCACTACCAAAATCGAGAACATGTTCACCTCGTTTTTCCCGTCGTCTAAATCTAGGACGCCGTGCTCGCTTGTGAAGTTTAAAGATGGAAGATGAAAATATAGTGCCAACGCTGCTTTCACTAGTTCGTCCAACTGAGGCGGAGACAAAGTCTGAGGGAAGTTTCTAAACTTGTGGTGAATTAATCTGTATTATTTGCTTTTTAATGCACAGGCAGTTATGTAATTTCTACCGCCTTCGTAAACACAAAAAAGGCTGTGGAAATTCATGAGCGTGCTTAGGCCAGTGTGCATGCAATGCATACTTGCACCTCAGCGAGGCGCGGCCGGCCGGGGAGGCCTGTTAACTATCTGCATCATCGCAGCCGACGCACCGGATGCGCCCTGAAGTATGCATTACATTCATCATTGTTGTACTTGTCTAGATCAAATTTCTGATAATCTCTGTGATATTCATAAACTGTTTACTAATACATGAACTGGTAACCATAATAACCATACCCTGGATAGTAGCGCGCGCGTAGTATCAAGGTGCGTCGTGCCGACACTACATTTGTATTACCGCTTGAGGCGGGATTTACTCTGTGTTATGTATTGAAATAAAGTAGACGTGTTGAAGATTACTCCCAGAGTCATTCTACTTTTTAATAGTCATCGAAGCTATTACAGTGGCGACGAGGATAAAAATACTTGAATTACAACCAGTGAAACTTCCTGAGAATCATGGCACAATTACAGTAGGTGTTCTTCGGGAATTCCAGGATGGTGAAAATTGGACAGACTTCGTCGAAAGGGTCGAGCAGTATTTCATCGCAAATGAAATAAAGGACGACGCCAAGAAACGAGCTGTCTTGCTCACGGTGTGCAATTCGAGGACATACAGTCTAATGAAAGACTTGCTTGCACCAGCTAAAGTAACAGATAAGTCATACTGTACAACGAATTGACTGAATTAATGAAGAGTCATTCGGAGCCTAAATCAAGTATAATCGTAAGTCGATTCAAGTTCTACTCGTGCACTAGACCGGGTGGTCAATCAGTGAGCAACTACGTAGCTAGTTTACGTAGGTTAGCTGAACCATGTCGTTTCGGCGATACGCTCGAGGAAATGTTGAGGGACAGGCTCGTCCTCGGCATAAACGACAACCGAATTCAAAGGAAGATGTTGTCGGAAACCACGCTGAATTTTAAAACGGCAGTGGAAATTGCAAATGCCATTTTGGAAGCACACGCTAATGTGAAAGATATTACTGTAACATTGGTGGGACTACTTCAGTGAACAAGGTTCAACATACCCAATCCAGATACTGTACAACAACAGAAAGGTCAGTAACAATAATTCTACTTCAAGTGATAGGCCTACACCTACATGTTATCGTTGTCTAGGCCCGCATCTCCCTCCAGATTGTAAACACAAGGAGGTGATGTGCCACGGCTGTGGTAAGCGAGGGCATTTTGTAAGAATCCCAAACAGATAAAGGATGGGAAGAAGGGCAAAGTCAATAATTATGTAACTGACACAGCTGCGCCACAGGGCCAGCAACAGCACCAAGCTCAGTATGAATACGATGAAGTATTATTTAACATAGAGAGCAAGGGTAGCGTAGCACCAATAACAGTCCAGGTTAAACTAATGGAGTGCCCCTCACTATGGAGGTTGACACGGGAGCAAGCATTAGTATCATTAGTGAAACTCATTATAACAACTTACTGTATGGAAAGGCAATAAACCACCGTTAGCAAAAAGCCATACTGTACTATGCACATACACGAATGGAAATGTAGACATTGTTGGAACGACTAACGTGAGCGTTTCGTACAGTATAAAAACTTTGTGCATGAACTTCCATTGCTAGTTGTAAAGGGCAGCGGACCGGCATTGTTTGGCCGTGATTGGTTGGAACATATCAAGCTTGATTGGCAAGAATTAAAGAACATAACTGTTGATAATTGTGACGGGGAAATTAATAACATTATTAATAAATTTCCGGACGTATTTAAGGATGGACTGGGAACCTATGCAGGACCCAAAACCAAGATCCACGTTAACGCAGATGCCACGCCCTTGTATTACAAGGCAAGAGCCGTTCCGTATGATTCGCCAGAAAGTTGAGGAAGCGTTGGAGCATGATGCACATTCTGACGTTTCCACATGTTTCATGACCCCGTTTCTTACATCATGCTCCAACGCTTCCGTATGATTCGCCAGAAAGTTGAGGAAGCGTTGGAGCATGATGTAAGAAACGGGGTCATGAAACATGTGGAAACGTCAGAATGTGCAGCACCCATAGTTCCAGTGTTAAAAGCGGATGGTGAGACAGTAAGAATTTGTGGTGATTATAAGTTGACAGTGAACAAGCAGTCTACACTAGACAATTATCCTATTCCTAAAGAGCAGGACTTGTTCGCATGTTTGGCTGGAGGCAAGCACTTCACCAAACTGGATCTCGCAAACACGTACCAGCAAATGCTTTTGGACGAAGAGTCAATGAAATATACAACTATAAACACACACAAGGGACTGTTCATGTACTGTACGCACGCTTACCATTCGGGTTCAAATCAGCCCCAGGAATTTTTCAGTCTAGACAGATCGAAAATTTGTTAAAGGGAGTACCTCACACAGTAGTTCGATCTGATGACATATTGTTAATGGGTAGCTCGAAGGAGGAGCATCTGAATAACCTAAATGAGGTTTTGAGTCAATTGTCAAGATATGGTTTGCGGTTAAAGAAAGAGAAGTGTTCCTTTTACCAACCGGAGGTGGTATTCCTTAGAAAACGTGTAACTGCTACAGGAGTAAGTCCAACCGAGGAGAAAGTACAAGCGATTAAGAATGCGCCACCACCGACTGACGTGACTCAGTTGAAATCATTTCTTGGACTCTTAAATTATTATTGTGCATTTTTACCTAATGTGTCAACTGTGCTAGAGCCATTAAATAGACTCTTGCGCAAAGGTGTTCAATGGAGTTGGTCAAAGAGTGAGCAAGCTTCTTTAAAAGAGGCTAAGAATTTATTATGTTCTGACAAAATATTAGTGCATTATGACCCATCTAAGGAAATTAGATTGTTATGCGACGCATCAGCCTATGGTATTTCGGCAGTGTTGGCACACCGCATCGATGGTGTTGATAAGCCTATTGCATATGCTTCGCGCACGCTGACTGCAGCAGAGCGCAACTACAGCATCATTGAAAAAGAAGGTCTTGCTTGTGTTTTCGGTGTAAAGAAATTTCACTAATACTTGTTTGGGATGCACTTTGTGTTGTTGTCAGATCATAAGCCACTCCAATCCTTGTTTAGTGAACGTAAAGGTATTCCGTCAATGGCCTCTGCTAGGATACAGAGATGGGCCTTGACTTTGGCTGCGTATAATTATACCATGCATTATCGTCCCGGTAACCAGAATGAGGTAGCTGACTGCTTAAGCAAATTACCTTTACCCATTACTGAGGGTCATATTCCCGTGCCGGGTGATTTTGTTGATGGAGCACATCAATAACGCCTCCTCTCCAGTAAATTCCGATGACATCAGAAAGTGGACTGGTAAAGATCCTATTTTGTCACATGTTAGACATTGCATACTGTATGGTAATTGGACCAACCCAGATCCTGACTCACAAGATGAGTTTAGACATTATATTAGACGTAAAGACGAGTTAAGTGTACATGATGGGTGTATTTTGTGGGGGTCCCGTATTGTGGTTCCTGCAAAGGGCCGCAATCTCATCATTAAAGAGTTACATGACTGTCACCCAGGAATTACATTAATGAAGTCCATTAGTAGACAATATGTATGGTGGCCATGTATTGACAAAGACTTGGAAAAATGTGTTAGCACATGTACCAAATGTCAGGTTAACAGGAATAAACCTGCCAAAACACCTTTATGTATGTGGGAGTACTCTAAAGAACCGTGGTCTCGGGTTCACATAGACTTCATGGGACCTTACATGGGGAAGTCATTTTTGATTATTGTCGATTCTTATACTAAGTGGATCGATGCTGTGATTATGAATTCTATAACTGCTGAGTGCACAATCGAGGTGCTCAGAAGAGTATTTGCCACTCATGGTATTCCTAAAGTGTTAGTAAGTGACAACGGACCAACCTATACTAGCGCCCAGTTTAAAGAGTTTACTGTGCGCAATGGGATTAAGCATTTGTTTAGTGCCCCCTTCAAACCATCATCTAATGGGTTAGCCGAGAGAGCAGTCCAAACCGTTAAACATGGACTTGCAAAGATGGCTGAGGGTGTTCTACCCTGCGAGGCACTTATGGAAAGAATGTTACATTCACCATTAAGTATGGTACACCCAAGTCTAAATGATAGGGTAATGCAAAAGCAGGAACGACAGAAGCACTACTCCTGTCTCTTATACACATCTAGATGTGTATAAGAGACAGGTGTCGTAACATCTCGAAGCGGCTCATTAGTGCAGTTAAACCCTGTATAATTCTATGGTCAGTGTTAATGATGATGTTGTATCAACTCGTCAAAGTAATGAGTCCATTGTTAATGTTCAGGAGAGCATTAGCGAGGATGTTGTAGAATGGGCCACAATAATAATGAGAACTCCAATGTTGTTCGTAGATCCCAGCGTAATAGGAAAGCCCCTAAAAGACCTGGGTATGATTAATCAGCATCGTTGTACCCGTTGGTACTTGCTGACCGTGATTTTGTTCATGTTCCAAGTTTATAACTATATGACAAATATTCACTATAGGTTGCAATGCTTAAACGGTGGGGTGTGATATTCATAAACTGTTTCCTATTACATGAACTGGTAACCATAATAACCATACCCTGGATAGTAGCGCGCACGTAGTATCAAGGTGCGTTATGCCGACACTACATTTGTATTACCGCTTGAGGCGGGATTTACTCTGTGTTATGTGTTGAAATAAAGTAGACGTGTTGAAGTTTACTCCCAGAGTCATTCTACTTTTTAATAGTCATCGAAGCTATTACAATCTCGGTACCTGAATTCGGCATTTTTGGGTTTATTTGTATTGTATAAAAACATGAATTCCTCATCGTCCAAGACACCTGTAGAATATGCAAAGACGACAATTTCGCGAAGTCGATGAAGGTTCGCCATAACAGCTGCTTAATAAGGTTGCCTAGCGACTACATGTCGACTGAATTCTAAAAAAGTTTTCATTTGTAGTCAACAGGTGTAGTTGACTACGTTGACACGCATGACCAGTCGACGTGAACCACACAATCTAAAAGTCCCTATTAATAGTAATACTAGGTACGGGCGATTTACCAAAACGCTCGGTTCTGAAACTAGTCACTAGTGCGTACATCGGCTGTTAATCGCGACCGAGATGCAATCAACAATACGGCGCTACTACTAGGTTCCTAACTAGTCTCTTAATCTTAGGCGTAAAGCCTAGGCCCCTAGTTGGTACTAACACAGGTAGCCTAGGCCCAACTCTCTAGGCCTACTGCAATAGAAAGAGAGGCTTTGTTGGCCCTTTTGTTTGTGTCGAGTCTTAACTTGACCCAAACCAAAACCTACCTAGGCTAGCCTTCCCTAGCCTAGCCTAGTGCTTACATTAATTAACATAGTCTTTAGCCTAGGCAGATGCAAAAATTAACTATTCATATGTGTTACTCACTTGGTTTGCAAAACCTTGGATTATAAAAATAATTAGTACGACGGCAACACTTCTCATATTTGACGGTGTAATATTACTAGGCCTATGCATGCTGTGATAATATTTTCAGGGTTGCCAGATAGTCGACAGGCTTCACAAACGAGCTGCTCCCATATGGCTCTATGGCTGCTCCGCGTATTTGTATTAAAATTGATGAAACATCCGCCCCCCCGCGAATGGGGTAAAATTTGAAACAAACGAACCAGAGCAGCGCCTTTATTGCTGTTTATTATTTCTATATAGCGCCGCAAGCGACCGGGGTAAAATTGTTTTCCGTGTACCCACAATGCCTTTGGAACGGATATTCCACTATATTGGGAAGCTGTCGTATCTGAAGTAGCCTGGGTTCCAGGCCCTAATTTTAGGTTACTCACTCTTTATTGCACTTAATTTACTCGATATCTTTTTTATTCCGTCTATCTCTAAATTAAATTTCTCGTTGGTGGCGCTGTCCAGAATGAGAAAAATAAGAGACTTGTGGCAAGTCTATATCTGAAGCTGCTCTATCTTTGTTCACGGCCAAACACACGCCATCTCACGGCCAACTCGGCCAAAATTTGTTTCGATATCGGCAAAATTCGGGTAGTATTTTAATCCGATTCAGAAGACAACAGCTGTGGGACGGTACAACATTTGAAATACTACAAAAATTACACGAAAATCAGCGGTCCTTCGTTTGAAATTGAAAGATATACGGTACACAGAACAATGTTAAAGCCCCATTCCCGGCAAAATTTCACTAACTGACTTTTTTTAGAAAATATGCATTTGCATTACTCCAATTATTATAAATCATTGAAAAATATTGGCATGAATTTTAGTTTTACGCAAAAGAATTAAAAAAAAATGAGAAATACAGACTATTTCTCATAAAATATTATCATTTTCTCGACGAATTCATCGTTACTAGGCAACCCAGAGGTTGTAGATCGCATCCACTGGAATACTCTCGCTTGTATGTATACTTTATAATATACAGTCAGAGCCATAGATAGAAAGAGTTGCGCCATTGAGAATTTAGAAGCCATTTTGTGTCATACGCGATGCGCGTTCTGTGTCTAACCAACTAACGTGATGTGCGTTCCTGTGTATAATATTGTATAGGCCTAATACAGTTAGCGGCCTCCTGTAGTTTAATTTCATTTAATCTTTTTAGCAGTCCAATTTCATGTAACTATTTATAGATTTTTTTTATGATTTCACTACTTTATATCCAATTTCATAGGTCTATTATAAAATAATACTGTAATAATTTACTATTTTTAAGCAGTTCTTTAATCCTCGCCGATAGACCGAGAGAGCCCCTCGATGGCAAGCATTCTTTAATTAGGCAATCCTTAAGTAGCTCCTA